GCAGGTGGTGCTGCGCCTGCGCGCTGCGCGCGTCGCACGAGCCAAAGTCGGCGGGCAGGTAGCGGCGCACGCCCGCGGCGCACGCCGCCTCGGCGAGACGCAGGTGCTGCCCGACGTCCACTACGGGAAAGGCGGCGACGACGGCGTCTTGCCCCGCGAGCAGCCGCGTGAGCTCGGACACGTCAAAGGCGGGGTCGAAGGGGATGAGCGTGATGCCGCCGGCGGGTGTCGGGGTGGTGGACGTGCTGCGCTGCAGGATGGACACGGAAAAGGTGCCGGCGGCGAGCAGCGCCTCGAGGATGACGGAACCGAGCGAGCCGTTGGCTCCGACGAGGCAGACTTTTTCAATGGGCGCAGACATGGATGCGAGCAGAGGTGGTGGATAGAGGAGGCAAGTTGACGTCAGAGTTTCCGTGGGGTAATAGCTTCGCTGATGGCGGGGTCGTTGACCTGGTGAGTTTCCAAGGCCTTTTAGGTAACGTGACCTGACAAGTCCCATTGTAGAGAACGAGAGTTCAATGGATTAAGATTAAGAGTAGCTATTAGTCTATCGTGTTATAATGAGGAGTGACATCGAGGTGGTGCTGCTGTGACCAACACACCCCGCACTTGCACCAACTCGTTCGGGTCCCCAGGTCTCCGTTCCGCGCCAAATTAAATAGAAATCTGATAAATATGATACTCCAAGACGAGCCTCGCTAGCAAAGCCATCGCTATTGCTCAGCAGAATGCCTGCTTTCCACCGACCTCATCAGCTGTTCCCGCAGCACCGCGACCCGAAGATCCATGTCTCCCTCGATCGGGCTCGACGCCGGCGTCCAAGGCAGCGCAACATGGCGCGATCCCGCACAGCACAGCCCCGTCCCCGGATCGGTAGCCGATCTCTGCAATACGTGTCCCCGGCGCGCGGGAGGGTACTGCACCGCGCTCTGCGACAGCACGAGCCAGCGTGCCCATCGGCGGTCCGCAGCCGGCGGCGCGTCGTGGTCGCCGAGCATCGTCTCCCAGCGCTCAATCCAGCGCGCGAGGTCGCGAATCTCGGCGTCGCGCAGGGCCGTCTCCGCCGGGGTGACGTCGACGGCGGTGCGGCGGCGGCGGCGGCGACGCTGCAGCTTCTCGAGACGGCGGCGGAGGGTGTGTATCTCGAGGGGCGTCGGGGCGGCGGCGGCGCGTGTCACGGCGGCCTGGTACGACGGCGGCGGGCAGCCGAGGTCGTCGACGCAGTAGACGGGCGGGTGCCGGCGGCGGTGGTCGGGCGGCGCCACGTCCAGGTAGCCGAGGGGCTGCTCGGCGTCGAAGGGCTTGGTGCCGCGGCGGAAGCGGCGGCGCAGCAGGTAGAAGCACAGCCAGACGACGGTGGCGAGCAGGGCCATGCCGACGATGCAGGCGATGAAGACGATGGGGTTTTGCTGCGACAGCAGCATCTTGGGCAGTTGCGCCGCGTGGTATGGACTAGGATGATGGATTATACAAGGTGTGGGAATAATGTAGCAGAGGCTGTAGAAGTTGGGAATAATGTAGGTAAGCTATTGAGTTTTCTCATTTTGACAAGAGCGCAATTGTTCTGGGAATTACAAAGTTGCAGCGCTTCCGGCTTCATCATCTGCGTCTTTTCACGCTTTCGTGCTCGGTTACTCTTTGCGGCCTGCAGATTGTGCCGGATTCGGCGGTTGCATCGCCCTACCAGCAACGGGTGCAACGAAAGGCGGGTCTGAATAGAGAGTAGGGCAGGGGAAAAAAAAGAAAAGAAAGGGCTGCAGGAATACTGCTCATAATAAGGTTACTTTTTGAAATTCCCTTTCCTTGAGCTTGATGATTCAACACTCGCTCAGGCGCGGGCACTGACCGGGAGCGGCGGCCCTGAGTGGGGCCGGCTAGAACAAAGGAGCGCCGCATAGTCGGCGACGGCATTGTGGGAAGCGGCAACATGCAATTTTTTTTCCATTTTTTTTTTCATAATGGCTTGTAAAATACTGCAGCGGAATACGCGAGCGAAAGGAATCTGCTAGGCAATTAACGCGTCTGCGACCGTACGATGGACGCGGTGTAGCCCAGGAATGCGGCTCTCTCGCCCTCGACCAATGCAGCTGTGTAAGGATACTCGTGACAGTGTAGGCACAACGGAATCAGGTCGCAAGTAGTTGAAAAAAATAATGCGACTCTCTGATCGGCCATTCTATTGAAACCTTTTATCCTCCCTTGAGCCAATAGCTCTTCTTCGCAACTACGCCCATCGCATATCCACCGCCGCCCTTGACTGGAATGCTATCACCAGTCCGCCTCCCTCATCCCTCATCCCGTGCACCCGCCCACCTAGTAAGTCGCCCGCACATTTCTCGTATCGGACCCCTTTTTACCTTAAAACTTGCTTCCATGGCCGCCTGCTGGAACGGATGCGCAGACTACCCAGGTGCGCCGCGCCCTCCAACCCCTCTCGCTTACAATGGCGAGTTCGAGTCGCATTGTATTAGATAGCGCCTTTCTCCGCTTGCCTTGCGAACGCAGAGTGGGATATTGCCTGCCCCCTGCCCAGAGTTGTACCCTGTTCTCCATGCCAGACGCTGGCGAAGCCCTCAAGACCTCAGCTGTTCTTGATATAATGCACCTCGCTTAAGACTCCTATTGCATCCATCTCTAGTATATTAAGTCGCCGTTTCTTCCCTCTGTAAAAAGATTTCTTTCCAAGCATCACACACACTTTTACGCCAAACTCTTCAACACTATTCCACACCTTCACTTACACACCAGCTTCTCGCAAGCCTCCTCTTGACCAACCTCTCCCACTCTCACTCCTCCAACACACCCAAAATGCGCAACACCATCTTCGCCTCCGCCGTTCTGGCCTCTGCCGCCTCCGCCTCCATTTTTGCCCGCGACGCCCCCGTCACCGTCACCAACACCGTCACCGTTACCAGCTGCCCGGCCTCGGTCAGCGACTGCGCCGCCGCCACCAGGTACATCACCGTGCCCTGCGGCGAGCAGGCTGCCGCTCCCTCCGCCGCTCCTGCTGCTGGTTCCGAGCCCCACGCCGCG